CACCGGGCGGAGCGGGACGGGACGGGACGGGACGGGATGGGGGGGGGGGGGGGGGGGGGAGGGGCGGCACCGCCCTGCGGGGGGACCGGCGCGGGCCGGAGCGGTACGAGGGCGTGGGACGGAGCTGCGAGGGCATCGCGCTGATATAGCGCTGATATCGCACTGATATCGCACTCACAGCACACTGCCACCGCACTGGCATTGCACTGGCATTGCATTGGCATTGCACTGGCGCTGCAGGGGTGCAGCCCTGCCCTTGGCACTGCACAGCACTACGCTGCCACTGCGCTCCATCGCGTCGGTGCTGCACGGGCACCGCAGGGCAGCAGCACCGCACAGCACTGCACAGCGCCGCACAGCACCGCTCCCCGCTCCCTCGCGCCGCTCAGGACCGGCTCTCCGTGGCACCGGCGCCGCACGGGAGCGGGCACGGCACCGTCCCTGCATTGGCACCGGGCTCAGGACCACCCCTGGGTGCCGCCCAGCATCGGGGTCACCCCCGTTGCCCCATCCCGCTCCCCCAGTCCCTTCACCGGGCCCCGCAGGCTCCCCGGGCCCCACGGAGGCCGAGCCACGTGGCCGAGCCCCCCCGCGCTCGTCACACGCGTGGCCCCCAGCCCGGCTGTGACTCAGCGCCCAGACGCGCCGCGGCGGGGGTGGCGGGCGAGGGGGGCTGCCGTGTGGCGACCACAGCTTCCCAGTTCCTCCCAGTAACTTCCCGGTGCCCCCAGTTCACCCGACGCTCCCCGGTCCCCCCGGTGCTGCGCCCCCCCCCCCCCGTATCAGTGCCGCCCCCCCCCACTTCCAGTCGCCCCATCCAGCAATCCCAGTACAGGAGCTCCCTCTCCAGTACGACCCCCGGACCCCCGCATTAGAATTCGCAGCGCAGTCCCCCCCCCCGGTGCGTCCCCATAGCGCCCCCGCCAGCAGGGCTCCGGGATCCCCAGGAACCCCGTGCCGCACCGACTCCTGGCTGGGGGTCTCATGCCAGCAGCCCCCCGTGGCCACGCGCTCAGGGCGGGGGGACGCGCAGGGCCAGACCCGCCCCCCCAGCCCCTCCCGCCGTCCGCACCCTTTCCTGCTTGAGTCAGCGGCCTCTGACTGCTGCTTCCGGGTGTCCCGCGGCTGTTGGGGCGTCCGCCTGTTTGTCTGTGCGCCCGTCCGGGTGTCCTCCTGTCTGTCCATCAGGGTGTTCTGCCTCTCCTTCTCCTTCTGTGTTTGTCCAAGTGTCCGTCCGTCTGTGTGGCTCACAGGGGTGTCTGTCTGTCCGTCAGAGTGTCTGCGATGGGGGTTGTGTCCATCTGTCTGCTGGGGGCATCCATCTGTCCATAGGGTGTCTGTGATGGGGGTCTGACCACACTTCTGTCTGTCCTTCTGTCCATCAGGGCATCCATCTCCCTCTTGGGGTGCCAACCTGTCTCTCCAGCTGTCTGTCCATCCGTCCACCGCCTTCCCGACGCCATGTACACGGCCCTCCCCAAAAGGTCCCCCACCCTCCAAACCCTCCCCCCACCCCATAACCCCAAAGACCCCTCACCAATGCCCCTCTCCCCGCAGCGGTTCCCCCTTCGGCCCCGCACCCACCCGCCCTGGGCTGCACATCTGGCGCGTGGAGAAGCTGCGCCCGGTGCCGGTCCCCGAGAGCTCGTGGGGTGTCTTCTTTTCCGGGGACGCCTACCTGGTGCTGCACCTGGGGTCCGAGGAGCGAGCCCACCTGCACCTCTGGATCGGTGAGCAATGGGGCGACGGGGCGGCGGGGGACGCGGGGGTCCGGCTGAGCTGTCGTCGCCCACCGCAGGCCGGGAGGCGTCGCAGGACGAGCGGGGCGGCTGCGCCCTGCTGAGCACCCAGCTGAACGCACTGCTGGGCGAGCGGCCCGTCACCCACCGCGAGGCGCAGGGCCACGAGTCCGATGAGTTCATGGGCTACTTCCCCCGCGGCATCACCTACCAGGTGTGGGGCTGGGCATCACCGCTCAACAATGAGCGTCGCCCGTGGGCTCTTGGGTAACCCTGAAGGGCACCGGGCATCGCCAGCGGGCCGTCGGGTGGCCCTGATGGGTGCTGGGCGCTGCCGAGGGTAGCCCTGGTGGGGCCGGCGGGTGCCGGCAGTGGGTCGGTGTCCGTGCTGGGCGCTCAGCACGCCGTGCCGGCAGGAGGGCGGCGTGGACTCGGCCTTCAAGGCGGCGCAGCGCAGCGCTGGCCCCGTGCGCCGGCTGTACCAGGTGAAGGGCCGCAGGAACATCCAGGCCGCGGAGCGGGACCTGAGCTGGGCCAGCTTCAACACCGGCGACTGCTTCATCCTGGACCTGGGAGAGGTGCGTGGCCGCGGCGCTGCCGTCCCCTCCCTGTCCCCCCAGATCCTTCTGCGTGGTGCAGGAAGTGCAGTGTGTCCGTCCGGGTGTCTGTCCGTCCGTTGGGTGTCCTTATGGTCGTCAGGGTGGCTCTCCATCTGTAGGCAGGCTGGCTGTCCTGCTGGCTGTTCATCTGTTGGGGCGTCTGTCTGTCTGTCAGGTGTCCATGTGTCCATAGGGATGTCCGGCTGTCCATCTGGGTGTTCAGCTCTCCTGGGTGTCTGTTCTGAGTATTGCTCTGTTGGGTTCTTCACCTGCCTTTCTGTGTGTCCATCTGTTGGGGCGTCCGTCTGTCAAAGCATCCATCTGTCCAGAACAGCGTCTGACTGTTTTCCCACATGTCCGCCTGTCCGTTTGGGAGTCCATTTACCGGGATGTCTGTCTGTCCTTCTGGATGTCCCTCTATTGGGGTATCTGTCTGTCAAAACAGCCATGAGCCCATAGGGTTGTTAGGCTTTCTGTGTGTCTAGCGGTCCTTCTGGGTGTCTGTCTGTCCTTCCGCAGAGGTCTTCACCCATCTTTTTGGGTGTCCATCTGTTGCAATGCCTGCCTGTCCCTCCAGCTGTGCATCCATCCATCCATCCATCCATCCATCCATCCATCCATCCATCCATCCATCAGGGCACATGTCCCTTCGGGTGGCCTTGGACACATGTTGCCATCCCTGTCCCCAGGCCATCTTCACGTGGTGTGGGGCGCAGAGCAACGTCCTGGAGCGCAGCCGGGCTCAGGAGCTGGCTGCAACCATCCGTGACAGCGAGCGGGGCGGCAAAGCGCGCCTGGAGACGGTGCTGGATGGCGAGGAGCCCCCCGAGATGCTGCAGGTGCTGGGCCCAAAGCCCGCCTTGATGGAGAGCAGCCCTGAGGAGGACGCGGCGGCCGACCGGAAGGCGGGGATGGCTGTTCTCTACAAGGCAAGGCACGAGGGATGCGTGGGGCTGGGCAGGGCTCAGGAACCCCCGTGCTGTGGGCTGGTTGCCCTGCAGTGGGTCAGGTTGCCCAAAGCTCCGTCCAGCCTGGCCTGGGACACCCAGGGCTTTGCTGTGGGTACATAAGGGATGTGTGGACACGGCACTGAGGGTCGGGTTGGCGGTTGGACTTGGTGACGTGAAGGTCGTTCCCAACATAGGTGATTGTAGGATCCTTTGGGCTGTGCTGGCCATGGGGCTGGGCAAGGCCGAGGGACAGCGAGGCGGTCGCAGCAGGGACAAAGGGCCGGTGCTGGCTGTGGGGTGGGGGTGACACGGTGAACACCCCAGGTGTCGGACGCAACGGGGCGCATGGACCTGAGTGAAGTGGCCCGGAGCTGCCCCTTCAACCAGAGCCTGCTGTGCCCTGACGACTGCTTCGTGCTGGACACGGGCGCCGGGGGGAAGATCTACGTGTGGAAAGGTGCCCGGGGATGGGGCAGGGGACAGGGCCACCCCCCGTGCAGCGCTGACGTCCCCATCCGCAGGGCGCAAAGCCAACGAGCAGGAGCGGCAGGCGGCCCTCAGCGTGGCTGAGCAGACCATCGCCCGCATGGGCTACTCGCCCCACACACAGGTGGGTGGAGGTGGCCTGGGGGGCACGGGCCACGACCCCCCATCCCCATTGCGTCCCCATCGCCGTCCCGCAGGTGGAAATCCTGCCGCAGGGCCGCGAGACGCCGCTCTTCAAGCAGTTCTTCAGCAGTTGGAAGTGAGGCGGCACCGTGGGCACAGGGCGGCACAGGGACGGGCTGTGACCCCACTCCCACGCCCACCGTATTCCCCACACCTCCAGCCCTGTGCCAGCTCCAAGCCCAGCCCAGCCCTGCACCATCAGCCCACCCTCACTGTGTCCGAGGCCATGCCGTCCCCACTCCTCTCTTTAAGCCCCTGCCATTCCACCCCCATGCCATCTCTGTCTCCATTCCCATGCCATCCCCACGCCACCCCCCTGCCACCTCCAGCCCCATTTCTCTGGCATCCCATCCCAGTGCCAACCCATCCTTGAGCCCACGCCATCCCCATACCCTGGATCCATCTCCATGCCCATGCTGCCCCCATGCTGCCCCCGTGCCCCCCATCTCTGAGCCCGCGCCATTTCCCTTGCCACATCCATGCCACCTGCATGGCCATGCCATCCCCATGTCACCTCCCTCTCCACTCCCATTCCATGCCACCCCTTCTCAGTGCCATCCCCAAGCCCACGCTGCTGTGCCACATCCCCGCCGTCAGCGCCGTGCCATCCTCACAGCACACAAATAAAGGCATGATGTGAACCCTGTGCCACACTGCAGTGCTGGAATGAAGGACGTGGGGCTGGGGACAGCGGGGGGCGGACGGCAGCCATGGGGCAAGGAGGCCCAGCAGCACCCGTGGGTGCTGAGGTGACCGGGAGGCAATGGGGCACTGCAGCCTGAGCCCCTCTGGTGCCGCCCACCCTGCCTGTGCTGATCAACCTCCTCTCACCCGTTCCTCCCCAGCAATGCCCCCAAGCCTGCGGTTTCTGATCCATTGCAGAACACATCCTGCTCAGCTTCCTCTTAATTAAGGGTTCCTCATTAGCGCTGTTAGAAAGCCGCTCTCCGTGCCAGTGCTGCACTGAAACGTCACCAGTGGTGCAGAGCAACCCTCAGCCATGGGCTGCAGGTGGGGCACAGGGAGCAGGGCGCCCCACAGGGTCCTGACACCAAAGAAAGCCCTTTTATTGACCTGCGGCCAACAGCCGCCGCGTCCTTGATCCCAAAGCAAACCGGGGGGGAGGAAGGCCGCCGCCGCACCGCGCTCTTCCTCCTTCACAGTGAATGGGGCAGGCAGCGCCCACAGCTTGAGGGGGGGCGGGGGGGTCACGGAGGGGTGCTGCCATCGCCCCCCAGAGAGTGCGGGGGGCTCAGGGGGCACAGCACGGTGCTGGGGGAGGGGGGAGGAAGGCAGGAAGCTGGCGCTGCTCGGAAGAACCAGTGGTGGTGGGGGGTCTGGGCACTGCGCGCCCTGCTGCCCTCACTCGAGCAGCTCCACGTAGTTGGCAGGGAACATCCCAAAGTGGCCGTCGGGGCCGTAGCCCCGCCACCATCCCTCGTCGATCATCTCGATGTTGGTGATGATGTTCTCGGGGTCAAAGGAGATCTCGGTGTCATCGGCTGGGAGGGGGGAAAAGGGGGGTGTGGGACAAAGCAGGGGAACCCCTGGGCCCCCCCTGCTGGGAGCACCCCCTCCACCTCGGAGAGACCCCTTCCATTTAGGAGCGCTCTCTCCTCTTTCTGGAGGATCCCACTCCCCCGTCTTGGGGGAACCTGCCCTATTTCAGAGCCTCCCCTCCAGTTTCAGAGGACCCTCTCTCATTTCAGAGGACCCCCCTCCCTCCTCTGAAGAATTCCATTTCAGAGGGACCCCCTCGTTCTGAAGGTCACCCCATTTCACAGGGACCCCTCCTCTTACTGGAGGAACCTTTTGGGGGAACCTCCCCTATTTCAGAGGGCTTTCCCCAGCTCCGAAGGATCTCCTCCCTCACCCCCTCATTTCTATTTCAGAAGAAATCCCCTCTTTTGAGGACCTCCTCCCATTTCAGAGGACCTCCCTCAGCAGAACCCCTCAATTTTGGAGGAACCCCCCTCGTCCATAGGAGCCCCCTCTGCTCCTTTCAGAAGCAACCCTCCATTTTGAAGGAACGCCCCCCGTTTCAGAGGACACCGCCTTATTTTGGGGGCAACCCCCCAGTTCTGGGGCAGCGCTGCTATCCTGGGAGGAACCTCCCCAGGTTCAGAGTGGGTGAAATAGGGTGGCCCCCTATTTCAGAGAAAACTCCCCCATTTCAGGGACCCCCCCCATACCCGCCTGGTAGTCGTAGAGCGCTCGGGCGCACAGCCCCTTCCCCGCCAGCTCGGGCTCCTGCTGGTACCCAGCTGGGTACTGGTACTGAGCTCCATCGTCGTGGTCCTGGGAAGGGAATGGGGGGCACTGAGGGGCGTGCAGCAAACCCAGCGTGGGCTGAGGGCAGCAGAGGCGCCCAGAGGGGATGCAGCCCCATAAAGCCGGACCCTGAAAGCAGAGGCAGAGCCCAACCTGAGGGGGTTCCTCGTAGATGGCTGCGCCGTCAGCTGCATCCTCGTACACATTCTCCCCATCCGGGTGGCTGCCCATCGGGCTCACGCTGTGCCCTGCGGGGGGAACGGCGGCAGCTCAGCCATAGCGCTCCCCCCACAGCGGGGGTCACGGAGCCCCGAGCGGTGCTTCTTATTTGGGGAGGGGAGGGGAAAGGGGGGAGCTGGTGCTCAACGTGAGTCATTGCCTAAAACACCACAGAGAGAAGCTGGTGGGAAGGGCTGCGCTGGAGCTTGGCCAACAGCAGCATCTAGCGGTGAGTGCAGCCCCACGGCACCGAACCGCGGGGGGGGGGGGGGGGGGGCCCCAGCCAAGGGGTCACAAAGTCACAGCGAGGTTGTGGGCACCTCCGGGTCCCTCTGCTCCCACCCAGCACCACGTCCAGGTGGGATGCAGATCTCCAGGAGGAGACCGGGTTCCAAACGGGACCAGGAAGCGTGGCACCAAGGGGGGGGGGGGGGGGGGCGCCCCCCCCCCCCCCCCGCGCCCGCCCCGGGGGGGGGGCCGGGGGGGGGGGGGGTGGGGGCCGGCACGGTGTCCTGCTCCCGCTGCAGGAAGGGGCTGCGCAGCTTGCCTGAAACAGAGAATGGGGGCTGAGGTGGGGCCTTGCCTGCAGCCAGGGGTGGTTTTGGGCACAGACGGCCACTGCCCTCCTTCCTCTCTTTGGAAACCCCCAGAAAGCTGTCAGCCCCCACGGGGCACTGCTTGCCCCCAGTCCAATCCCGGTGCTCCAGCAGCATTCCCACCACGCTGCAGCGCACCCCCGCAAAGCAGTGGGATGGGGACAGCACCAAGCTGAGCGCCCATGGGGTCACCGCCTGCAAACCCTCCCCTGGCTGCAACTGGGCACCCACATCCCCCTGCCCCCCCAGGACCCTCACCTGGCTGTGCAGTGGCTGCAGTGTCCCCAGGTGCCGCCCGCTCCCTCTGCACAAAGATGTCCCGCGGGTTCCCCGGGCGCTGCGCAATCAGTGACGCCGCCTCCTGTGAGTGGAGTGGGGCTTGGGGGGGCGTCCAGTGGGGCAACCCCCAGCTGTGGGGCTGCGGTCTCACCTGGGCTTTCTCCACTGATTCGCTCCTCCGCACGCTGCGGCGCTGCCCGGCCTCACGCTCCTCTGCCTGCTGCTCCTTCTGTGGCACCAGAGGGGACAGTGACAGCCCCACCGCGCGAACCCCAAAGCGGGGGGTGAGCAAAGGGGACATCTGCACCCCAAAAGCCCCAGGGACGGCACGAGGCTCACCCACTGCTGCTGCTCCCGCCTCTCTGCCTCCTGCTGCAGCCTCCTGCAGGGAGACGGGGGGTGACAAAGGGGAGAGAGAAGGGGTGACCAGGGGTGGCAAGGGGCTGGAGGTGCTCAGGACTCACTTCTGGGCCTCGATCTGGCTGGAGCGTGCCTGGAACCTCTGCTCCCTCCCCGCTGCCTCCTGCAGCTCCCTCTCACGCCGCTCACGCTCCAGCCGCTGCCGCTCCTCCTCTGCGCGCCGCTTCTCCTCCAGGCGCCGGTTCTCCTCGTCCTTCTGTTAGGTGCAGGCACCACCTCAGCCCCGCTGTGCTCCGCCACGCGGCCCGCAGTGCTGCTCTGCAGCCCTCACCTCGGCTTTGGCCCAGAAGTGGTCCTTATTGACCCGCTTGATTTCAGACATGGCGTTGGTTTTCTGGTAGACGGAGCCCTGCGCGGGGCGGGCAGCAGAGGGGTCAGAGCAGTGCTGCACAAATGACTTTTCTGCATCCCCCTTCAGAAATGCGCCGACCCCACTGCTTTGTGCTGCCTTCGGTAGGGGTGGAAGGGACCCCACAGCCCATCATTCCCCGCATCCCCACTCCATCTGACCACACAAAAAGTTGTTCTCCATCTTGTTTCTACCTCCCTGTAGGTCCTGCTGGACAGGAATCCGCCCCATAGGACCCACCCAACAGCAAAGGGCACCGCAGTCCCACGCCGTGGGACCCCCAACACCAGCATCAAACCGTCTCCCCATACTCAGTGACGTCACCCCAGCCCCAGACCCACCACAGGGCCTTGTGGCCCGGCGTCCTGGAAGCGGCTGCTCTCTTTGTGGAAGCTGTAGTTGGCCCCCGAGGCCTTGGCCACCTTCTGCATGATGAGCTCGGGCTCCACATCCTCCTCTGCTCGAGCGTTGATGGTGACGTGGGCACCCTGCATGGGGACATTGGGCTCGGGGTAGCACCGAATTGGCTTCCACAGGGGACAGAATGGGGACAGCAGGAGCCAAGCAAACCTTCAGGAAGCTGGCAACGGTGCTGACGTGGTTGGCACAGGCTCCTTTCCGCACATCATTGACGCCTTCACCCGTCTGCGTGGCAAACCAGCAGAGGAACAATGGAATGAGCAATGGAAGAGCGATGCAGAACCAATGGAATGGAAGAGCAGTGGAAGAGCAATGGCACCATGAGCCCCACCCCAGTGGCTCCTTTCCACCCCTTTGATTTGGGATGTCCCACACGTCCCCATCCCAGCTCACCCAGTTGACGAGGACGTATTTGGGCAGGCCGGAGTTGGGGTCCTTCACCCTGCAGAAGGCGTACATCACCTTGCCGCTGTTCAGCTCCTCCACCATCTCCTCCAGGCCGCCCTCTGTGCCGGGACAGGAGCAGGGCTGGGCCAGGGGCATTGGATACGTCCTGGCCACCCCTTGGTGTCCCCAGGGCCGCAGGGAGAGCGAGTGGCACTGGGGGGTACCCAAAATCGCCAGCCTCCCCCCAGCACCGCGCGCATGGGAACCACTCAGGAATGAGGAAACCCACAAGAACGCGCTCACACCCCCAAACCGTTCCCCATAAACATCCCCAAAGTGGAAGGCGGTGGTGTCACAACGGCCAGCCCCAAATCCAGAACCCCCCACACAGCAGGAACGGGGCTTCAACCTCCCGAGCGGCAACCGAAAGGAGTTATGGGGCGGAGGGGCGGGCCGGGCCGGCACCGCTTCCCCATTCCCAAGGCAGGCACCCAGCGCTGGGCGCCCCGCTCACCCCCGCTGCCGGCCACGCGCAGGTCGTTGCTGTTGCCTTCATAGGTGAACAGAGCCCTGTGGGATGGGGGGGGCTGAGTCGCGGCCCCCACCCCCAAAGCCCCGCACCCACACATCCCGAGCCCCGACCCCCAGGCACGCAATGAGCCCCCCGCCCTAAATCACCCCCGCTCCACAGACCCCCCCAGACCCCCAGCTCTGGGCACCCCACACCCTGAATCCCCCCCCCCCGTGCACCCCACGGCCCTCCCAGCCCCTCGCCCCCACGCACCCCACACCCCCAGCCCCCCC